TGCCATCTTACTCATAATTCTGTCATCACAATGGCAACAGCTAATATGTTTAGTAGATGGCTGTGTTGTATTACAATGATTAAAGCCATGAATTATATTTATCCAATCTGAAGTTACTTTTGATATATTACTTATGATTTATTCGTCACAATGGTAACTTGTGATATGTTTATTAGATGATTGTCATGTTAAACACAGCTAAGCCTACAGTCATATATTTAACAATTATTCCACGAGCGCGCGTTGGATATGAGATGATAGATAGCCAACGAGGCGCGTAGCGCCCAGTTGGCTATAATCATCTCATATCCAACAAGCACGAGTGGAATAATTGTCTTATTTAAAAAAGAAAAACGCCCCCAAGATATTAGAGAAATCTTCTCTACTTTATTTTGTAACAAGAAACCGGATCTTACAATGTACAGATATTAGATTATGGTATATTGGCTCATATACCATAATGGCTAAGCCATTATGGTAAGATATTAATAATATCTATTAATATCTTACTCGTGATTCGCTAGACTGACTAAATAAATAAACCATAAAAAAATCGCGGTTTATTCTAAATAACTATCTTTATTGACCCCTAGAAATGATCAGCATCTAATTTCTCAAAACAATGTCACCCCTTATTGTGGACTTATACCAACTTGGACCGGACTGCTTCTAAAGAGGCTGCGACTAAAACGTCCACGAACCTTATCATATTCTACTAGGTGGTGTAGGAGTGCATTGAAATCTCCCAGCTCTGATTTCTCTGCTGCAAAAACCTATTACAGATATTGTTGTAGAAAACTAACAAGTTGTTCTAACTCGACAAACCAACGGTGCTACAAGCTTCTGAACTCATGGTATTTTTCAGGGACCCTACAGCACCTAAAACTGAGTAAATTGAATGGCGTGTTTCAACCCCTCCTTATATGTTTTACTACAAAATTTACTTTTTCAAAACAGAGAGGAAGAGTTGCAGATTTTGTTTATAATAAAAACAGATACAAAAGTAGGTAAGCAATGCGAAAGAAAACCGAGAAATTGAAAAGTTGCTCTTGGTCACCCTCATTTCCATGTCCCAGAGGGGCTCCAAGAGACCGTGAGCCGTAATTTCCCAAGTAAAATAAATTTCAATCTTAAAATATTCATTTCGTGATGAGCACCCCTAACCAAGTTTATATGAAAACTTTGAGCCAAGTCGGTGAATCTGCCTGTCCTATCTGGTCCGATATTTACTTAACACTTTTTATTTATCGACCTAAAGGTAAGAAATTCTTGCTTTAATATCTAGAAATGACGAACTAGAGCAACTAGAGTGAAACTAATTCTGTTTACTTCAAGTTGTATGGCGAGAGACATCATATATTTCGACGCCACCTACAGCGCCTTTCAAGTAACATTGAGAAACTAACGATTTAGTTCTTTCGTGAGCACTTAAATAATGGCTTCCGTTACCAAGAGAGGAGTTATGACCAAAAGAGGTTGCTAGTTGGAGTTATTGGCCTTAAAATACCCTTTGGCGGCTCCACGACAAGTTTGAACAGTTCGCTAAATCTAATAAAGACCAATAGATATAGAACATAACCCAGTTCACGTGGCACACTGTCATAAGATTAATGATTACATTTTCCAATTCAAAATGACTGCACCTCAAGTACTAAGAATAAGAACGGTTTCCAAATGAACACTAAGAAATATTTTGTATTAACATGACTATTTTTATACCTATCTTGACTTTCAATGATTTTATTTTTCTATTCTTATTACGGAGTGATAAACACATCAAAAGGTATAGAGCGAAGAGGCAACTTTTGGCAGCTGAATTTTCCTAAGTGGGGATGGAAATTCTCTCTTTTTAGGAATTTTTTATTTCAATTTCTATTCAAATTAAGTTTAAAAAAAGAAACAAAATGCAGAAAACCATATCTCTTATGCATACTAGCAGCGTACTGATAATCACCATCTTGAGAATAGAATGTTTTGTAGGATCCTAACAGAGGCAGTTGGCTTCATCAATTTCCACCAGGTAATCTTTCACAATTTCCCTCAATATTAACTCCAGGAAAAGAACATGATCTTTTTTTTTTTGGAAATAGCTTCTTGTCAAACTTAAATGTCTAACTTCACATGAAAAAATAATAGTGAAATAACGGGAAGCTTCTCCCTTTGTCTTGTGATAGCGACAGCTTGGAATATCTGTCAAAACTCTTTTAATATTCTCTCTGAGTGATTCGAAGTAAAATGTGTTGTTTTAAAGATATCAATATGGCGCACTGCGTGATGTAGTGGTAGCCAAGTTAGTTTGTTCAAATAATTAACAATTATTCCACTCGCGCTTGTTGGATATTTTTCCCTTTTTTCCCTATTTTTCCCTTTTTTCCCTCTATCATCTCATATCCAACAAGCGCGAGTGGAATAATTGTTTTATTAAAAACGTTCAATTAAATTATTAAATTTTATTAAATTTTTAGCTCCCTTTTAATCTTAAGCTGAAACGTACGCTTGCCATATTTGTAGATTATGGTATATTGGCTGATAGACCATAATGGCTAAGCCAATAAAAAGTCTTGAATTGCATTATCCAATGATCTAGTTTTTAATAATTGCTTTTACACTATAGCTTTCATGAGGAAGCGCTGATTCCTTACCGTTAAGAAGGCAAATTTTGTTTTTGTACTTAATGTTTCTTTAATTTATTTTATTTGTTTTTTATATATGGATATTGCAGTTGATTATCAAAGAGATTGAATTTAAAGGCTCTGTTTATTCATTTTCTACCTTTTTTTCCCTCTAAACCTAGTAAGGTGAGTTTCAGTACAACTTCATTGGTTTTTGCACGGCATTTGAACTAGAGATATTCCATGCAGTCTTATTCCAGAAGAGACTCGTAAGCACAAGCATACCGATATCTATGCGATGAAATCGGTATAACCTGCGACACCACGCTCAAGTTGAAAATAAAGATTAAGAATTTAATACTTTTTGGTCTTTCTAAGATCATTAACAGCTGTAAACACCGGATATCCCATCCAAAAATGACTGAAAAACATTTTTAGCATTCATGTTAAGAGCGACGCATTTTTCTTAAATGTCACGCCGAAAACTAAAAATTAATCTTGTACTTACTTTACTCAAGTTTTGACATGCGGTGTTTTGCTAATCGCGCTTTCCTTTTACCAAATATAATCGTAGAAGCCAGTTACCATCTGCTTCTCTCCTTTGTGTTATTTGAGAAAACTATCTTAATACGCCACATAAATTTTAAAAATAGCGTTTTGACTCAGAAAATGCTGCCAAGTTTCCTTCCGCATCGAAAATCGGATAAAATGTGTCCCCTCCACACTACACCAAAAAATAGGGACAGAGACAGAGACCTCAACAAGAAGCAACCCATAATTTAGCCAGCAAGCAAGCAATGTCACTGAACTCATAGCCGCAATCTTACAACTAAAGTCTTCAGCTTTTTATTGAAACTTAGAAAGGACATTGGGTTACCTTTGTCTTTGACTGTAAAATTTAACGATGTTCCCATGTGCAGATCTCGCCAAAAAGAGAATGATCTTTATTCAAAAATGACTCCAATACGTCTACATGAGACCTTAATTTCAGTTTAACATGAATAAATAAGTTGCTGGATGCTCCTTGCTGTGTCATATAAAGGGACAGCTTGAAACAGCTCTCAGAATTATTGTGCGATCTGAGTGATCTGACTATCAAAATTTTCCGTTCGATGGTAAATCCGACCGGTAGGTTACTTTGTTGTTACACGTACTCTGTTGTTTTGTTTGATGCATTTATCATGTTTTACTGAGGAAAGTAAAATTATTACCACAGGAACCAGAAATGAATTTTACTTATTGAAAAATGTAGTTTAAAAATTTTAAGTTTTGACAGGATAGCGAGTAAACAGGTAAATAGGGACTATTACAAGAAACAAACTCCGGCACCAACGAAAAGTGGAAAATGTATTGAAAATAATCAATGAAAAATACGTTTGATGTGGGTTCTTCCCAATTTGTTCATCAGGCCCAAAATTTCTACTCACATTTGATTAGAAACAGCTCAAAAACAACATCAGAGTATTGAATAAAGCAGGTATCCTATCAAGATGATAGATGGACTCGACAATTTCAAGTTACTAGTAGCTGTAAGGCTTCTTGTAGATTTGGCCTGATAAATTTTTAAACGGCCTATCGGAAACTCAACACAACACGAGCTTTTCGTCCACATAAAATCTTTCCCTTCTCCACGGCAGAAACAGTCACCTTTGACGGATAATACTGCAATTTCGAGCATGGGTATAACAAGGGCCTAATTTTCGGTCTTTATTCGTTGTTATGTGTACAAGGTCTTGAGGCTGCCTCAAGTTTCTTGTTGATAGTTATTTCCTTTACTTTTTGAGCATCTAACTTGGTTTACCATTTGGAAGAGCTGAGCTTTTTCTATTTTCTCGTCTGAAGCTCAAATTTAAAACAAATTCTCCGACCTTTTTGGTCTCCTCAATTTCTATTCAAACAATTTACGATCAAAAGAGCAAAAATACAGAAAAACGAGACCTTTATGCATATTAGCAACTACTAATCACCATCTTGAGACTAAAAAGGTTTTGTGGGATCCTAAAAGAAGCATTTGACTTTTTCAATTTTCACCAGTAATCTTCCACAACGTCCCTCAAGGTTAATTCCAGGAAAAGACCACGATCTTTTTCTTGAAAATAAATTTTCGTCAAACTTGAATTTCTACCTTCACATGAATGAAAAATAATATTAAAATAACGGGAAGCTTCTTCTCTTTTATCACATCAAAGCGACAGCTTGGAACATCTATCAAAATTATTATTTCTCCTCAAGTGATTCGAAGGAAAATTTTCCGTTCGATGGTATAAGCGAGTCGAATAGCACATGCAGTGGGATAACTCAAGTTGTGAGATATTCTCCCTTCAGGTAGGCTACTTTGTTGTTACAAGTGCTTGGTTGGTT